AAGGCAGTCTGAGACAGCTCCCCCTCCAAAAAAAATCATTATAAATGTATGTAAGGCAGAAAATAAGTCAAAATAAATGAAAAAGACCTAATTGCTCAAGAAAAACTATACTGCCAGTGATCAGAAACTATTTCCAAGGCCCACATAAATACTCAGAAAACTAATTTCTGAGATACTAATGTAAATTTTTACTTTATGACTCCATGAATCTTAGTTTTGGGAATATAGGATAGTATATAAAGTGAATATAATCTCTGAAATATAATGTCAAATCAGACATGCATGCCAAGGCTTAGGCACAATTTAGCTCAATCATATTTACAGTTAACCATATTAGAGCCTCTTAAATTTTGGCTATTTGATGAAACTGTCTCTCCAAACTTAGCTTTTACTCTAAATACATATTTCTTTCTTTAATTTATAAATCATGAAGAGAATTAAATCTCAGCTTCAGGAATAGCTTGTGTCACAAATGTCTCTTCTCAGATATTTAACCAAACCTATCCTGTTTTTCAACGAGAATATGTTTGCCTAGCAATAACACTGAAGATATTTTCAAACTGAAAAGGATCCACCAATAAGTTACACTTGGAACAAATTTCCATAAGTTCTGGACCAACCAAAGATATTGAAGGAATTATTCCAAGTGCCAGAAAAGGATAAAAGCTCAACAAAGCGCAAAGTAATAATCCCATGCAGGCACAAGAAGAGGTGGCATTGCAGGCATCATTTTAGGAGGAGTATCATGAAAACTACACAACCACAACACCAGCATCCAGGTAAACAACCATCCAATGGGTTACCTCTGTCTAGTGGAGATGCCATCATATACCACAAAGGAAAGAAAACTGGTTAACTGATTGAAAACTCAATTATCATGTGAATCATGGTAAAGTCAGTTCTCAAACTCATTCCAAATAGGTCCTACTGGATATTTGCTTGTTAATAAGAAACAATAACCTAGGACAGGCAAAAAGCCATATATTCAGGCTAACAAAACAGTACTAGGTTTTGACTGCAGATGCTAAGAAAGAGCTTCTCTGACTTCATTTGTGGCCGACAGACGATACAGTCCTGATGTAACAGTTATAGATTATTTCTTGGATCTGATATCAATAATGAACACATCATCCAAAATGTCCTAATTAAGCCTCCTTTAAAAAAAAGGCTAACTCTTAAGCCACACTTGATTTTTTTTACCAAGAGATTTAAAATTTTTTTACATCAAAAAACTAGGGAAGGGGGCCGGGGAGATGGCTCAGTGGAATAAGCACTTCCCTGGCAAGCACAAGGGCCTGAGTTCAATCCCCAGTTCTGGAAAAAAAAAAAAAAAAAAAAAACAAACCCACACACAAAACCAACTAGGGAAACACAGCCATTTAGTGAGATATTAATATTTACATTTCTTAAAATAAACAAATAATTATATTTTCATATAATCTAAGGTGCTGCAAAATAAATAGGAATAGGAAAAAATGATAGGCACCTAGAGGTACACAACAAAAGTGTAGTCTGTGTAATTAATAATGTGGTAATAGGAGAGATTCTGGCACATAATTAAAATAAATAATATACTGAAAAACAGAAGTTGAGAAAAAGACAACGGCCTACTGATAAAGTGAAATGGGGCAGTTGAGCTAAAGTCACAAACTTTACCTTATTTTCTAACAATTACTTGGGCTACGTGGCTGCTCAGGAGATAACAAAAAGACTCATCTAACTTTCTTGGTAATTTTAAATTTTAGGATAACTTTAAACACACAGAAAAATTGAAAGATTACTATGAGGAACTAGCACACACTTTATCAAGATTCACTATCATATTACCCCACTTGCTTTACTGTTTCACAGATACTTTTTTTGTACCACTACAAAAGTACATTTGAGACATCAAGCTATTTCCTCCTGTGAATAAAGACATTCCCTTACGTATCACAATGTAAGTGTAATTAAACAGAAAATATACTATTGATACACTTGTTATTACCTAATGCAATTTTCATGCTTACACAGCTGTACCAGTAATTTCCTTTAGTATTTTCCTCCAGGTATATAACTCCAATTAGTCATCATGTATCTTTAGTCTTTCAATTTGAAATAGTCTATTCTTGTTCATTTTTTCCTTCTGAAGTTTATCACGTACAAGTGTAGTATAATTCACATAAAATTTACCATTTGCACATCTAACAAATGTATGTATTTGTGCCTAGCTTCTAACATTTAGTATTTTATGGATTCACCCATGATGCATGAATCAGTTGTTGATTCCTTTTTTGGTCAAGCACTATTTCATCAGACATATAAACCACAATCTGTTTACTCATTTCATATGATGGACATTTATGTCATCTCCACTTTTTGGCTACTGCACATAGTGCTACTAACGGTATTCCCATTCATGTACAAATAAGTATTTGAGGACATGTTTTCCATTCTTTTCACAATACATGTATAAGTGGAATTCTCTGTCATATGGTAGTTCTATATTAGTTTTTTAGGAACAGCTGAACTGTTTTCCTCAGGGGCTGAACCAGTTATAGTCCTACTAGCAACATAAGAGGTTTCCAATCCACATTCTTTTTTTTTTTTTTTT